GCGGCGGGCGGCCCCGCGGCCCGCAGCCGCTTCCCCTCTCGCGGTCCCTGTTTCTGTCTGTGTCTGACGCCGCCACTTGTTTCCGCTCTGATACCAGGAATTATCCCGAAAAGTTAACATGTCATCTCCACTCCGCGCCGGACACTTGTGACCGAAGGCAGCTGCTGCGGACCGGCCCACTCATCTCCGCTCCTGCTGCCGCCCGCCCGCCTGCCCGCTGCCTGGCTCCGCACAACTCGTGGGGCGCGGCTCCTGGACGCCTCCACCCGCCGACCCTGAGCCAGACCCCCGGCAGGACTGCGCGCCAGGCCACCGTCCAGGCAGGGGATGCCACGTGCCCAAGCAGCAAAGACAGCCCTTGCCTCCGTGCTGCCTCCGGTCCGCACCTCCTCCTCCTTCCACCTCAGTCTGGAGTCCGGGGGTGGCACCTGGGCTTGACAGCCCCCGTGGTGCAGGTGGAGGGAGAGAGCTGGAGGCGCGAGAGCAGGGGGAGGGCGGCCGCCGCCCGTCAGGACCCGGCCGCCGGACTCCATCGCTGCTGGACTCCGTCGCCCCTGGGGCCCCGCACCCCCTGGGCAGACGTGCTGCAGGCGGCTCCCCAGCCTTGGCCACTCCTGACCCACGGAGCTTCCTCACTTCTCTGTCAGGGAAGGGGCGGCAGCACTCGGATGCCGTCTGTCCGTCCATCTGTCCGTCTCCAGGTCGTGGCGGGTGGGATCTCGGGCCTCGGCGACCGGGCGGGCAGAGAGGCAGGCCGGCGAGCGCGGCGCCGGCGAGCTACTGTAAACTTTAAAGAATTCCTGCAAGATATTTTTATAGACTTTTTTTTCTTGGTTGTTTTTGGAAAAGGGAGCGGGGACGGGGAGTCTCTGGGCAGGACAGACTGGCGTTTCGATTCCCTGGCTGTTTCTTACGCACATACATAGATATATATTTAAAGAACGGCACGGCTGGCTCTCGGGCTCCCTGGCCTTCCTGTGTACACGCTTCTCCAGCGCCCGCGAGGGGCCAGGTGGGGACAGCACCACCGGCCCCCGCCCAGGCCCGGGCTGGGGCTGCACTTGGTTTAGTGTTCAGGAGGGGAGGGGCAGGAGGAGGCCAGGGCACCGCAGGATTTTTTATTAAAACAACAAAAAGTTTTAAAAAAAAAAAAAAAACGGACGAGCGTGAAGGCCTAGGCGCCCTTCTGCAGCGTGTTCCCTGTTGTGCACACGAGGCCGTGGGTGCCGCCTGCCGCCACCACGCCCCGCCAGCACTTTGCCCGCCTCCACCTCCAGCTTCTGCTCGGTTCCTGTCCTTCAGCGTCAGCACCCGGGGACGGCCGGGGCGGCCGGGCTGCGGCCGGCGGGCTCACCTGCATGCCCCTGCTGTCCCGCCTCGCCGCCCGCCGCCCCCGTATATAGATTTTAATGCCTCTGTTCCACGAACCTCTACGGCAGACCGGGTCTCCATCCTAGAACAGGTGCACGCCTGCAAAGCAAGCGCCACGCGGTGCAAGCAGGAGGGCTCGCCCGCAGACAGGCGCACCCGCCGGAAAGCAATACCTCCCGCGAGCCCTCTTCTTTTGTACTTCGGACACGCGGCCACCACGAGACAAACGGACAGCCCCCCAGTGTACCCTTGTCAATAACTGTGAGCACCTTGAGTCCCAGAACAATAAACCTTCATGAAGACACAGTCTGCGTCTGGTGGGCGGGCCCGGGGCGCGGGGGACCGCCACCGGCTCTTGTCCCTGGGGGCTGGTCTCTCAGGGTTGCGTGATAGGCTCTCTGCCCTGACTGAAGAGGACAGACCCCCACATGGGATCAGAATCCACTTCCCGTGTGTCGAGCCATCCCCCTTGGCTGCTCCAGCCTGAGCTGGGGTCACGTTTAGGGCTGGGGCTCGGGCAGGGCTCACCGACGCCAGAGCACCGCTGGGGACAGGAGGCAGGGCAGGAGAGAGGCACTTCACCTCAGCTGTCACCACCCGAGACGCCCATGGTGACATACTGGCAAGGGCTTGTTACTGAAGGACAGGCCTGTGCCCTGCTCCTGTCTTGGGAAGAGGCCAGTGGGCATGTGAGCCCAGCCCTAGAAGCCAGGGGCAGGGCCAGGGGGGCAGCTTGGAGGCTGCAGGGGTGGCCTCGTCCCCGCCCTGTGCAGAGGGAGCCTGCGGCCTCCATTCCGGACCCTCTGCTTCAGCTGAGAGTTCCAGGGCCTCAGCCCCCTGTTGCCTGGGCAGAACTCAGGAATCCCTTGCCAGCGCCTCAAGGATGGGCAGCAGCCACCCTCACAAGGGGTCTGAGACTTTCTCCATGCCACAGAGCCTAGCCCTTGGCCTGGTTCACTCACACACGCACGCACATGGGTCCTCACACGTGGAGACACTGAGGCACAGTGTGGGCTGCTGGAAGTGCTGGACTTTGTACCCGACCATCCACCTCTGCAGTGGGATTTTGCCCCCTGGCACTGCTGGCAGTGGGGCTGGATGACTCCTGGCTATCCTGTGTCCTGTCAGATGTCCCCAAGGGTCAGGTAGAAGGCCAGTGCTCTGGAGTGCAAGACCAGCCGAGTGACCTACGCCTCCAATGGCCTCGTAAGCAGGGGCCTCCACCAGAATGGAGCTCCTCAGCCTCAGGACCTGAAGGGTCTGCAGAGGGGAGGCTGGGGGCTTCCCCACCTAGCACCAAATGGTCCCCTCGTGAGGCTGGGGCTTCCCCCATCCAGCCCCGAATGCCACAGTCACCCCATGAGATTGGGGTCTTCCCCCGCCCGGCCCCGAATGCCACCGTCCCCCTGTGAGGCTGGGGGCTTCCCCCGCCCAGCCCCGAATGTCACCATCCCATGAGACTGGGGGCTTCCCCCGCCCAATCCTGAATGAATGTCACCGCCCCATGAGACTGGGGTCTTCCCCTGCCCAATCCTGAATGAATGTCACCATCCCATGAGACTGGGGTCTTCCCCCGCCCGGCCCCGAATGTCACCATCCTATGAGACTGGGGTCTTCCCCTGCCCAATCCTGAATGAATGTCACCATCCCCTCAGGGGAGGTGGGTGCCGAGAAGCATTGTGGTGACAGAGGGGACCAGGCTGTACTCCAACCTCTGAGTTGCAGTTTCCTACAACTGGCTGCTCCAGTCCAGCCAGGCACTGGTTATCTGGCTCTTGGGGCCACAGGCTGTTGGGCATGGGGAGAGAGTCTGTGCCCTTCTGCCTCACTGAGAGGAGCTGACACACTGACAGATGTCCTCATTGTCCTCTCCTTGGCCCTCTAAATGTGTGCCATCTAAAGTGTCAGCCTTAATGGCCACAGGATCACAGTTCCACAAGGAAACAGAACAAACTTTACTCAGTAGAGCTGCCAGCTCCCCACCTGTCTACCATGACTCCCCTTCAGCTCAGGAACTTCCATACGAGAGGCCAGTTCCTGCAGTCCCACTTAGGACACCAGGCTCTTGCTTGGTTGTATGTAACAGAAGCCAAGGCAAACTGGCCTAAACCAAAAGTTGTTAATATTTACTAATGTAGACTGAAATGCACAGACAATACACACAGGGCTTACTATGTACCAGATGCTCTCCTTAGTGCTTTACATGTGTTAAGCCAGTTAGTCCTTACACAATCCCTATGGAGGAAGGACTAAAATGGGGACTTGTTTAGAGAGAAGGATAAGGGGGTGGGGCTGGCCACCCAGTTAGAGAATCTCTCAGCCTCAGTTTTCAGTCCCAAGTAGTCACCTGCCTGGCCCACGTGGGGCTGTGAGCTGGGCCCTGGGGGGACGTTGATGTTGGCGAGCCCACTGATGTAATCACGGGGATGAGTGGCTGTCTTAGTTCTCCCGTGCTGTTATAGCAGAAATACCACCAGGGAGTGGCTTTAACAAACAGAAATGTGTTTTCTCACAGGTTAAAAAGCTAGCAGTCTGAAGTCAGGGTGATGGCTCTAGGGAAGGTTTCCTCTCAGTCGGCTCTGGAGGAAGGTCTTTGTCCATTCAGCTTGTTTCCTGGTTCCTTGGACATCTCCTTGTGGCATGCCATCACTCTTCCCCCATCTTTGCTGCTCACTTACTTGTTTAATCTCTTTGCTATCTCAACTGTGACTGAGTCAACAGACACCCTACACTAATCCTGCCTCATTAACTTAACAAACAACCCATTCCCAACAGGCAAGACCATCTAACACATGGTGCCTCAAAGCTCTGAATGGTGGCAGGGGTACAGGACAGACTTAGGACGCACCTTGGAGGGAGACGGGGGACACAACCTCGCCTGAGCTCTGCTCTGCCAGAAGCCTGCCCTCGGTCTTGTGCTTGCTGTTGGCTGATGGTGGAGACAGAGGGTCCCAGACTTTCATGCTGTGAGATGGAGCAATTCCTGGTGGTGTGGAGCCTGAGCCTGGGGGAGGCCAACTTCAGGATGTGCTACTCACAGCTCCCAGGGCAGGGAGTGCAGCGTAGAGATGGGTCTGTCCCCATCGGTGGCACTGCCTCTTTATGCTTCCCTCCCTCAGCCCAGGCCACCAGGCCTTGAGTCCCAAGTCCAGCCCCATCGGTGCTGCATGGTTTCTTCCCGTCTCTTCACACCGTCCCTCTCTGGCCTCCACCCTCAAGTCTTCTAGGTGTGATTCAGCAAGGTGTGGTGGTCAGCAGGGAGCCAGACAGGACAGCCAATGAATGAGAGGAAGAAGAACCAGCACCAAACTTCAAGGTGGGGATGCCCGCTAGAGGACAGGAGGCAGGAGGGACCGACGGAAGCACGGGAGGGCTATCAGGGAAGCCAAGCGTCAGCCTTGTGGCTTGGAGGTGGGTCCACATCACTCACGCTCACGAGTTGCTGTTTGCTGAGACATCCTTGGCACAAGGCTACGTGCTCCCACAGACCATCCCATCAAGCCCTGGAAATGACCCCATGGAGCACCACAGCCCACTGCACAGGTGTGTCAGTTCCTCACGGCTGCTGTAACAAGTGGCCACAACTCTTACAGGCAGAAGTCCAATCTGGGTCTCCTTGGGCTAACACAGAGCTGTTGGCAGGCCGTTTTCCTTCTGGACGCTTTAGGGGAGAATGTGTCCCTTGCCTCTCCCAGCCCCGAGAGGCCACCATCTTCCTTCTCCATCTTCAAAGCCGCCCTCTCGTGCTTTTAAGGATTCTTCTAATGACAATGGGCCAATCCCTCCTCAGGATCAGTGGATTGGCAACTTTGATTCCCTTTTGCTGTCTTAGGCAACATACTCACAGGTCCCAGGGATTAGGACATGTACATCTTTAAACAAAAAACCCACTGCCGTGGAGTCAATTCCAACTCCCAGCACCCCTACAGAACAGAATGGAACTGTCCCATAGGTTGTCCAAGGCTGTCAATCTTTACTGAAGCAGACTGCCTCATCTTTCCTCCACACCGCAGCTGGTAGGTTTGAAGCACCAACCTTTTGGTTAGCAGCCAAGTGCCTTAAGCATCTCTGAGAGCTATTATCCTACTCACTGCAGTCTGCTCTCTGCCCCAAAGATTGACGTCCATCCCATGTGCACAATGCACTTACTCCTTGCAAAGATTTTCCAAAATCAGCCCTTTGCAGCATCAAGTCCAAAATCTCATCTCATTTATCAGCTCAATCAATGAACTCAATCAGGTGTGAGGGATGCTAAGGGAATAACCTGTCTTGGGACAAAATTCCACTGCATCTGTGAAACTAGAAAACAAATTATTTGCTTACAAAACCCAATGATGGAACAGGCGTAAGGTAACAGTTACAGACATTCCCACCAGAAAAGGGGGAAATGGAAGGAAACGATGAGTTATTGGTCCCAAGCAATTCCACAATCAGCGAGGCCAACTCCACTGGGTTTCAAGGCCTGGGCATAACCTTCTGTGGCTCAAGGCTCTGACCTCGTGCTCACGGCCCCACTGTCTGGGCCATCCTGCCTTTTTCATGAAAGGACTATGCTTGTGGCACTTCCTGTAGAATGTGGGGGTGCTGACAGCCTTTCTTTTTGTCATCTCTGTCCCTTTCAGCCCCAGCTGGCGGTGTTTCCGCTGGTGTAACACCCTCAAGAACCCTGTGGGTCCCCTGCATACGTCATGGGGGCTGACTCCACTCTCAAGAGGCCTGTTTACAAGTCCTGGCAGGACCACCTCTATGCACAGCATCTGCTGAGATGGCTGATGAGGCCAATGGTCACCCACTTCCCTTCTTCAGTCTTCTGTGTGACTGACAGCTCTGACTCAGGATCTGTCCCAGCTGTTAGCACAGAGCTGCCCATCCACACCTGCAGCTTCTTCCCACAGCACTTCCCCAACTCTGTTCATATTGGTGTCTTTTCCCATCTGGATAGGCTGAGAATTTCCCAAATCATCCCATCTGGGTTCCTCTTCTTTTTTCTTAAGTTCCTCCCTCAATCTTGAACTTTAATCCATGCTGCACCTTCGGCACATTGCTTAGAAACCTCCTGTTAACCGCCCAGTGGTTTACAAGTCCTTCCTTCCACACAACTGCAGGACAGTCCTGGGGGCTTTCTCTCACGACAAAACCAAGATCCCCTTTCCTTCGGCTTCCACAATGCTGCCTCGTCCCCTGTGAGCCGTCCCCGGCAGTGGCCTGTCCAGCACAAGCTAAGGTGTCCTCTAAGGCACCCAGAGTCTCTCCACCATGCCCCTACTGAGTGTTCACTACAAGGGTCACGATTCTTCCCGCCTCTGCCCATTGTCCAATCCCAAAGCCACACCACATTTTTATTGATTTTGTGTGTGTGTGTGATTTGGGTGAAAGTTTACATAGCAAATTGGTTTTTCATTCAACAATTCATACACATTTTGTTTGGTGACACCAACTTCAGTCCCCACAATGGAACAGGTCTCTTCCCACTTCTTCCCTGTGTTTACTGTTTCCATCTGTCCTTTCCTGTCCCCTCCTACCTTCTGAGCTTTATCCCTAGGCAAATGCTGCCCTTTGATTGGCTGGTCTAAGGAGTGTGTACCTCCTTGGTGTTACTGTTCACTTTACAGCACTGTCTGCCCTTTGGCTCAAAGTTGAGCCGTGGGGGTGAGCTCAGTTTTAGGCTTGAAGAGTGTCATAGTCTAGGGGTTCCACCAGTCTCTATCAAACCAGTAAGCCTGGTCTCTCTTAAGACTTTGAGTCTTGTTTCACATTTTTCTCCCAGTCTATGCAGGACCTCCTACTGTGATCCCTTTCAGAGCAGTCAGCTGTGGTAGCTGGGCACCATCTAGTTAGTCCCTCTGGTCTCAGGGTCATGGAGGTTGGGGGTCCTTTGGACTGTTTCCTTGAGTCTTTGTTCTCCACTCTTCTTTGCTCCATACAGATGGGGAGAGGCCAACAGTTGCACCTTAAATCACATCCACATTTTTAGATATTTTTACAACAGCACCCCACTCCTGATACCAAAACCTGTATTCATTTCCAATTACTAAGTCACAAGTTGCCACAACTGCACTGGCTTCACATGACACAAATTTGTTTACCCTACAGGTCAGAAGTCCAAAACTGGTCCCTGCTGAGCTAAAATCGAGCTGTCAGCAGGGCTGCTCTCCTGGAGACTTCAGGGGAGAATGTGTTCCTTTCCTTTCCCAACTCCTAGAGCCACCCATCTTCGTGGCCTCACAGCCCCGCCTCCCCCCCATTCAGCACCAGCAAGGTCTGGCAGAGCCCCTTCCCACTGCCATCTCTCTGCTTTTCCCTCCCCCGAAGGTCTGCCAGAGCCCCTTCCCACTGCCATCTCTCTGGTTCCCCCACCACCACCCCGAAGGTCTGGTGGAGTCCTTTTCTTGTTGCCTTACACTCTTAAGGATCCTTGTGATCACACTGGGCCCACCTGGATGACCCAGGATAACCTTCCCTTCTCAAGGTCAGCTGGTTAGCTCCCTTCACCTTAATCCCATCTCCAACCATAATTCCCCTTGGCTATGCTGGCAAAGAATAGCGAATGTGCTGTGAATCACGGACAAATGGACACGTTTTGGAAGAAGTACAGCCAGAATGCTCCTTAGAAGTCAGGATGGTGAGACATGTTGTCAGGAGAGACCAGGGCCTGGAGAAGGACATCATGCTGGGTAAACCGCAGGGTCAGCGAAAACAAGGAAGGCCCTCAACGAGGCAGACTGACACTGTGGCTGCCACGCACTCAGACACAAGAGGATGGCGCAGGGCCGAGCAGTGTCTCGATCTGTCGAAACCGACACGATGACACCTAACGATGACAGGTGAGGTCTCAGCTTCACAGGCTCCAGGGATCAGAATGTGACTGCCTCCAGGGAGACACCATTTTGGCTAACACACCAGCCAGGTGTGGGGAGCGGACAGCAAGTGAGCAGGTTCTCAGGAGCAGCCCTGGGTCTGCTCACCTTGAGCTAAGCCCTTGCCATCACCACCTCACACAGGCAGGGCCCAGTGAGCAGCACAAAGCCACCTCCTCCAGAGGCTGGGAACTGAGGCAGGCAGGCTTTCAGGTCCCTCCAGCTGGGCTCCCAGACCAGGGTCCCATGGTCCTGCAGCAAGGAGATGCCTGGCTGTCAGAGAGACTGTCCCCCAACATCTACCACGGGGCTGGGACTCCAGTGTCCCAGCACACACCCCTCTGCCCCGAACAGCCAGTCCACAACACAGACCTCGGCCCTTCCTCACTGTGCCCTCTCCCCCAGCCCCTCTTCCCACCCCAGGCCTCCATTCAGCAGCCAGACCGTGCTCCTGAACAGACACAGGCTGGGTACCCAGAGCCCAGCACCCCACACACCCTGGCCTGGGTTCTGGCCGGAAAGAACAATCACCTGGCTCCTCTCCAGCCCCCAGCTCTCTGGGCCTGGACAGGTCCCACCTTGGACCCTGTCCAGCCACCTAGGAGCTCCTAGGGCAGGTCCCAGCTTGGTCCAAACCCAGTCCTCTGTGAAGCAGAGGCAGGGATGACCGAGGCAGGGGGTGGGGGACTCGAGGGCAGCCCCGGGATGGGGCGCCTTGTCCCCCATCATCTCTGGCCAGCCACTCTGAGTTGACAGGCTTAGGAAAGCGGGGCAGCACAGCCTGGAGCCCACCCTTCCCAGCCAGCACTGGCGACAGAACAGAGGTGAGGGGCTGGGGCTGGGGTTACATTATAGCCCACAGCCCGACCCCGAGGGCAGCTCTGGAGCTCATGTTGGAAACAGGCCAGAGTAAAGTACCGGCCAGGGCCCCAGCAGGCAGGCCGGGACCCACACGCTGCCCTGGACACTGCTGGGCGCAGGTTAGGAAGGACGAGCTCTATCCAGGTGGGGACGGGGCTGCAGCCAGCTCCATGGACAGCAAAGGGCCCCAGAAGCTTCCTGCAGGCAGGTGGTATGTACCCCAGGTACGGAGCCCAAGTCACAGGCCACCAGGTGAGGCAGGTGGGACCTTCCGGCAAAGTGCTGTTCAAGTCATGCCCAACACCCACTCCAGGGACAGAGTCCACAAGCGTGGGGCCGATTCCAGCACCAGGACCACTGAAGTCTCCACGGATCCCTCTGCAGTGGGGATAGGGGACGGCACAGCACCATGGGAGCCAGGCAGGGTGGCCAGGGGCAGAGGCATCCTCAGGAACTCTCCAGGCCGCAGGAAGCTGCTGGAAAGGCCAGCGACCGGGAGCAGGAGACCCGGGGAGAAGGCTGGGAAGAGCCCCAGCCTGGGTGGGAGAGGGAGGGGCTGCTGGGAAAGGTGCTGTGGGCATGCCTGGGGGGGGGGGGGCTGGCTGCAGGTGCCAGAGGGGATCAGGAAGGCACCGGGCCACTGTGCATCTCTGGGCTGGGAGGGCAGCCACACAGGCCCCAGTAGGGTGGTGGCATGGGTGGACATGAGTCCAGGGAGCTCAGGCACCTGGTGGGGCGTGGGCAGCAAGACATCAACACCCAGAAGCAGCAGGTGCGGCCCGAGAAGGGCCCTGCAGCAGAGCAGCTCTCCAGGCCGCCCGGGACTGTGGACAGAGCGACTGCCACCCGGCATCCACCCCCAGGCTGGGACTCCAGCCTCCCAAAAGAGCTCCCCCATGTTAGCGGTTGCTCACAGCACCATGGCTCCTGCGACTGGCCTCAGGCGAGCCCCATGACTGCTTGCTGGGGCCCCCGAGGGAAGGGGCACTGGGGCACTCTCTGCTGCCCGTGCCCACCCCACCTAGTGCACACCACCTCGGCCCTGGACATCTCCGCTCTGCCAAGGAAGCCCCAGTGGCTGCTCCAGGCCCCTTCAAGCGGCCCGCCCGAGGCGCCAGGACACACCAGGACACTCCCACCTGAGAACGTGATTTATTGGACTCAATAGACAGACTAAGAAGCGGAGGCTGCGCGCGCGACAGCAGTGGTGGCCGCGTCTCCTGCACGGGCCACTCAGCCCCTCCCGCGTGGCCCTCCTGACCCCACCGCAGGCGGGACTCCTCCCTGGGCATGTGGGAAGCAGGGAAAGGGGCAGAAGCGACAGCTGAGACCCCCACGGGGTCACTTGGAACCTCATCCCACCTCCGCCTGCCCCACCCTCTCTGGGCCGCTAACAGCCACCATCCAGGTGTGGCAGGAAGGGAAAGATCTTGCTGTAAAAATAAGCCCCACCCCCAAAACCAAACCAAACCCGGGGTCTATAAAGAAGCGTTTTGGAGGAGGGGTGCGTTTCCTGCATGTCTGTTTCTTTAAAAACGGCAGAGCTGCCAGGGGAGGGGGGGGTGCTGCACGGAAGACCGAAGAAGGACCCCACAGAAAGGACTCCAACGCCTGTCCGGAGATGCCTGCTGGGCGGTGCGCACTCGCGCGGGGCCCTGCACTCAGGACGCAGGCTCTGCAGCGCCGGGACGGACGGCAGGCTCCTGCGTACGCCCGGCAGACCTCCGCCGCCCTCTGCACACCTGACGCCCGCGAGGCCGGAGCCCCCCCACGCGCACACGCCGCGCAGGCGCACGCGCCGCTCCTTCCCGCCCCGTGCGCGTGTCCGTCCCGCCCGCGGGCTCATCTCTCCTTCACGTGGTTCTGTGCCCCTCCGGCCCCGTTGCTGCCGGCCCCACTGGCGCCGCCGCACAGCACGCCCGTGAGGTCGTCCATGACGGCGGTCTCTTTGGAGTCGACCAGGTTGAACTCCCGGACGAAAAGGATGAAGTGGGCGTACAGAGTGTTCAAGTGCGCGTGCAGCTGCAGCGCCAGCGTCTCCTTGAAGTGGGACGAGTAGATGTGGGCCAGCACGTGGAACAGGTACCTGCAGATCTTCCTCACCAGCGCCTCAAAGGACGGCGGGAACTCGCGGCCTGCGGCGGCGAGAGGGTGTGAGCCCACGCCTCCCCGCCCGCCACCCCCAGCACCCGACAAGTCGGGCAGCAGCCTGCTGGCCACTGCAGTGGGGCAGGCGGGCCCCCACAGGTGAACGTGCCCGCAGGCCCAGCAAGGTGGGCTCTCCCGGGTGGGGGCAGAGAAGTCGGGGACCTGCAGTCACCAGTCCCCACAGTGACTCAACTATCCCCTTCACACCCTGCCCAGGGCTTCTGGCCAGGGCCCAGGGGCAGCCTCGTTGGGCTGTCAGGCCCCCCAGCCCTCGGGTGGATGGGCATGCCCCCCAGGCTGGGCTGATGTGAGGCCCGTTAGGGCCACACTGACTGACAGGGGGTGTCGGAGCTGCCCCACAGCTCAGAACACGCAGTGCCAGGGTCCACAGGCTGGGCCCTGGCTCCCCCTGCATCTCAGCTCAGAGCCCCAGCCACCTGCACCTTCTGCCAACCAGCTGGCCCCTCAGCCTGACGGTACCTGCTCTCCCGGGCTGCCTGGCTGCCAAGGACAGGTGCCCCCGTTCCAGAAGGCCCTGCCCCCCAGGGCTGCCAGGGCCACGTGTCCCTCCGCGGAACATACCGTACTTGGTGGGGAAGACGTCCTCGTCGGTCACCAGCTTCTGCACGGAGCTCATGACGAAGTCCACGTACTGGGGAGCAGTGCATTTGAGCTTCTTACCCCGCTCGTCATACCAGTAGTACTGTCTGTGGGGGCGAGGGCGCCAGGGGCCCACCAACAGGGTGGACGTCACCGGGTGCACAGCCCCACAGGGGCTCACAGGCCCTCAGAGGCCCAGCCAGGACCTGCTGGGCCCCAGACCAGCCCTCCCGCCACCCTCCAGGGGTCCTGGCTGCAGCACCAGTCATGACATCAAGAGACACTGCGTAGTCTAGTGTCGTGCACACGCACAGGGACACATGTGCACAAGACCTTAGGAGCACACCCAGGCTGACCACAGATGCCCACGGGGTACCTTCACCCCTTGTGACCATGGACCCAAGCTTTGGGCTTTCAGATGCGTGTGCTTGGCTTATACTTGACAGGTGCTAAGAGCATGTCCCTGCTGCTCCAGTGTCCCCATCTCCAGGGGACAGTGCTGACTGGCAGCCCAGCCTCTACCCTATGCCCTCCCTGTCACCTGACCTCCCTCGGCCTCCCATCCCCCACGCTGACTCCAGGGACAATGGTGGCACTGAGGAGATATGCAAGCCCGTGACAGAAAGGGGTACCTGAGTTGGGGGGCCCCTGGATAGGGCAGGCCTAGCCCCTGGGCTACCTGAGACCGAAGTTCTGTGAAGCCAGCAAACCCAGGACTCGGGGACTCATCCTCCCGCCCCACCCCCAGCCCCCTGTCACATCGCGCTGAGGTTTGACTGGCAAACAAGCTCCCAACAGAAACGCCTCCCGGCCAGAGCTGAGGCGGGCCTCGAGGGCCTGGGCAGCTCACAGCTACTCACATGTTGCAGGCGGCCATGGTCTGGCAGGTCTCCCCGGTGCAGAACTCCGAGATGGTGCTGTACTGGAGGTTAATGTGGTGGAAGAACGTGGTGGCTGCAGAGGGAGAGTCAGCCATCAGGGCTGCTCGAGCAGGGCGATGCAGGAAAGCCCCCTCAAGCCCTGGGACTGGACCATGCCAGCACAGCAGCGGCCCCTACAGGCTGCCTGGCTGTCCGGTGGGACATACTCCCTGTGCCCGAGGGAATGGAACCAGACATTGCTTCCTCCTGGCCTGGGCTGGTGTTGGCCCCGCCCCTGGCTACAGGCCCCACCCACTTCTGCAGATCCCGCCCCCCTGCTGCTGGCCCCGCCCCCCACCGCACGCACTGTTGCTGGCCAGCCACTCGTTGAGGTCGATCTCCCGGGGCAGCGCCACCAGCTCCTTGAACTCGAAGTCGGTGATTCTGGACCTGGTGTACTCTGGCTCCAGGTAGACCTTCTTCTCCTCTGGGGCCGGTTTCTTCCCGTTCGGCTTCGCTTTGGACTTCCTGCCCGGGATGGGGAGACCAAGGTCAGCCCGCGCACCCGAGACAGGACGCCGCCCAGCTCCGCCAGCGGCCAGGACAGAGCGGGCCTCCGTGGAGACACCCGGTCCGCTGTGCACACACCCGCCCAGCTGTGCACACACCCGCCCAGCCGTGCACACAAAGGGGGTCATCTGGGGGGGCAGGCAGCACCAGCCTGGAGAGCCGCCCCCAGCAGCAGTGAGCAGAGGCAGACAGGACGACGGGCTCTGAGCCGTGCCAGGGTGCCCCCGCTAGAACCCCTTCCAACAGGAGTGCCAGCCTCCAGAATGCCCCCAAAGCACACCGTCACGGAGGGTGCAAAGCGTCACGTGGCTGACCCCACACCACACCTGCAGCCAAGTGTCCAGAGGGACACGCAGGGACCGGGTGTCCATCCAACAAAGACAGCTACAACTCCTTCCGTGTACCGGGGCTGGCAGCCAAGCACAGCCCTCTAGGAGGGTGCATGTCAGGTGCACCCTGACGTCCCTGCATCACACCCCAACGGTCGGGCTGATGGATCGGCAGCTCTGTCCCCCTCCCGAGGGTAGGGCTGTGCAGGCCCCCACTCGACACACAACAGTGCAGTCGGTCAGGAGTGTGCACAGGGCTGGCTTCCGGAACCCAACACTCCCCACGTGGCCATCGAGGCATCTGCTCCCCACTGGGCTGCGGGCTTGCAGCTGTTTCCACGGCGGCTCTGGGGAGCCAGGGCGAGACCCTGTGTCCAGGCACAGGCCCTCCGAGGGGAGGGGTGCACCACAGCCACTCTGCTCCTTGGGGAAAAGGCTACCTTTTCCTGCATCGTGGTCCTGCTGTTGACCCAGCATGAGCTGTCAGACGGGCTGCTACGTGCCTCAACGTCCATGTTTTAACCTTACCCGTTAAGTACCAACAGCTCACACCCTCTCAGACAAGTGTTCCCTGGCCCTGAGACTAAAGTGGGAGGCCTGGGGGGACACTGACACCGAAAGAGGTCACCCCAGCGCTGGGAGCTTTTGGCTGGAGGACAGCACCACCGGGGACAGTGAGTAGTGCATTGGGGTCTCAGCCCCTGCTCAGCACCCTTATGCGTCTGTCTGAACCCCATCTCCTGCCGCTGTCCCCTGGTGGGCGATTTCAACACGATGGGGTAGGGCCCCATTACTCCCTGTGGCTGAGTCGGGGTCCTCCCAACTGGCCATGGAGGGTGGAGAGGTCCCCACCTCTCCCCTTCTCAAAGCGGCCTCGGACCTCTGGCAGCTCCACTATCCTCAGGAGGGCGCCTGTGGCACAGGGGTGAGGGGTCCGTCTGGGACCCCATCCCCTCCTGCCACACCTCACTTGCTGTAGAAGGACCCACAGGCCCATCCTCATCCCAAAAGCAGCCACTAGAGGAGGGCCAGCGACACCACCTCTGCGGGACCCACTGGGGCAGGCTGCAGGGTGAGGGCCACTCCCTCCCAGGTCCTGCAGATGTGGAGGGGCGGCCTCCACAGGGCCCAACCTTGTTTCTTTCTTGGCTGTGTTTTGAAGAGTTGCTGATGGTTTACTTAAGAGGAGGAGGAGGGAAAAGGCTCCCTGGATGCCAGGGAAATTCTTCCTCACAGTTTCCCACAGCAAGCTGCCCTTAAAAGGTGAGGCTCACTCAGGCACTGGAGCCCGCTGGGAGCGGCGGGGCCAGGCAGGCCGGCGTCCCCGGGTGCAAGCAGAGGGGGGCCACCAGAAGACAGGCCGATTGACAGTGGCCAGGAAGGGTCCCCAGTGCCATCCAGAGAGAGGCCAGGAGGACAGGGTTCTGCACTGCGGCCTTTGGTGGCACAGTGAGGGCTCACTCGTCCAGCTGTGGTCAGAACCAGGAGAACTCTGCTGGGTCTCTCTGCCTCGGGCTGCCTGCTACTGGGACAACACCCCAGACGCCTGCCCAAGACCCCAGGCGGCATGAGCCCTGACCCGGAGACTGAACAGCCTCCTGCCACCATCAGCGTCCCTGACCTCACCCCCCACCCAGCACTGGGCTCTCAGGCAGACAGGAGCTCTCGGTCACGGTCACGAAGGGCCTGTCCAGGGTGAAACAGCCAGGAGCACACAGCCACACCTCCCAGGTGGGGCCTACCCTGCCCCGTCACCGGCCGGGCTGCTCCGGATGAGGTTCCCACAGCATCCCTTCTGGGGCAGAGCCCCCGGCTCCAACCTCTGTACCTTCGTGGAAAACGGGGCCGTGCCAGCCACCTGTGACCGGGGGCCGCCCACCCAGTCCCGGATATGCCTCTCTGGCGGGGGGAAGGGCGGGTCAGCAGACTCCCACAGGTTCCCGGCCACCTGTCCACCTCGACCCAGAGCCATACCCCTCGCTCCAGCCCAGGGAGGCCAGCACCCACATGGGCAATGAACCCATCTGAAGTGGTCGTCAAAGCCCAGGAGAGTCAGAAGCGGGGTGGGGACCAGGAAGGGGCTGTGTCCACTAGAGACGAACGCAGCGGTGGGAGGGCCACTGCCCTCAGGAAGCTGTAGACACCCGGCTCTGCCGAGCCCGCACCCTTGCCGGACCCAGGGCACAGGGACGGCAGGAGCACACGGGCCCGGGCTGCCAGCCCTGCTGCCGGCTTCCTTCTGCAGGGGAGCAGAGCACTCAGGCGAGCACGGCAGGGGTGGCACAGCCCGTGGTGCCCTGTCCTCAGCCCTGGTCTGTGGAAAGGGGGGGTGCCCCACCCCTGCTTATGCCCAGCTGGCCTGCTGCTGCATTGAGCTGGGCTCGGTGCCCCCAAAAGTCAAGGAAATACAGGCGGATGCTACTTGCCACCACAAAGTCATTGAAATCATCAGCAAAAAAGTGACCTGCCATTACTGAACAGCCGCAGGCAGCCGTGCCCAGGCACGGGGACCTCATTCACCCACTGCAGTCTCCCTGCAAGACCCCTGTGCCGTGATCCCCACTTTTAAAAAGGTGAGCTCCTACGATGTGGACTGTGTGGGTGCGGGGAACCAGGAGGGCCCGTGGGACACTTGCTGGGACCAACACCTGCTCATAAGAGTGTTTGGAAAACAAAGCAGGTCCCCACCGGCCCTGCCCCTACTGCCCAAGGCATGGACTCGGGGCTTCCACACGTGGTACACCCCACAGTGCCTGCACCCTCGATTCAGGGGGTTGGAGTGGGGCCTAAACCAATTTCTAGCAAGTTCCAGGGCTGCTGCCAGAGGTCCCAGCCACGCCAAGAACTTGGCAACTCGGCATCCAGGCTGTCTGGCTAGGCCTGGCTGCCCTGATCTGCTTCCTATCCCAGAGACACAGAAGCCGGGGTGGGAGGCGCCCATGCCGGGGCCCACACGGTGCTGCTCCCCGTGAGCCTGTCTGGGCCAGCGTCCCCACACAAAGCAGGCTTTCATCAGCCCCATGTCTCCCCCAAAGTAAGCAAGCTCACACACAGACGCCAGGACAGCAGGACACAGCAACAATGGCCCCTAGGAGTTGTCCCTGAGGCCCGGTGCTGCTTGGTTGCAGGATCGAGAACCCCTGCCCCTGCCCCTGCCCCTGCCCCTGCCCCTCCGAGTGGTTCACTCCCCCATCACCACCCGGCACCAGTAAAGATCTACCCTGGCTTCCGAGCTGGGCCGCGGCGGGGCAGTGAGCTACTCGGTATGGCTCTTCCAGCCGGTCTTCGTAACTCCCGCTGGATTGCTGGCTGTAGTTGTTAGGTGCCGTTGAGTCGTGTCCGACTCACAGTGACCCCATGCACAGCAGAATGAAACCCCACCCAGTTCCACACTAAGTCCACGATCCCTGCTATACTTGAGCCCGCTGCAGCCGCCGTGTCAGTCCATCTCGTTGAGGGCCTTCCCTCTTTC